CCTGTTAGTACATGTAAGCAGTGTAGAGAAGATTTTAAAGCAAATATTAAAAATATTTAAATAAAAAATATAATCAGTTTGTTCAAATCTAAATTACGATTATTGTGTGAGGAAGTGATGGGGTGAATAAATGCTAGTAATATATAGACCTACATTCATGATTGGAACAACAAAAAAATAATTTTGTCCAACGTCGGTAACATAGAATTTAATATTGGAGGAAATCTCGGTTTAGATTGCAATGCTAAACAAAATTTGTCGATTTATAAACAATGAAGATTGGTCTACGTTTCCGATCTAACTACTCTGTAGAACACTTTCCGGCGACAGTTTAACTGACCTACAAATCGATTGTTGCATACGGATCGAGCGGTTAAAATCTCTCTTCCTTCCCATTTCTACTTACTAAAATTTTGTGTTTGAAACCTAAATTAAACTTATATGACTTTTGACAAACATTTCTGTAAAAAATTGTTAGCAAACAAGCTTATTGAACTTTTTTTCCCCATGCGATTCTGTAAATCGCATCCATGTTGTTTACTTTAGGTTGTCGGAGTCTGCAACCACGTGACTTTCGTTGCCATCGGTGGGCGGAGCGTGGAAGCGTGAATTATTAGATAACAAAAGGTAAGATACTCTCCTATTCATGTTATTGTGATGGGTGTGTTTTCGATGTAGGAATAGGTGAGTATAAAGCTGAACATCACACTTTTTTATTGTCGAAACCAAATTAGGCCTGTATTAGACACGTGCATTAATGATTTATGGGTTCAGGTGCTTACCACACACATATATAATGTCGTTTTTCTTTATTTAATATTTTAGTTTTTTTAAATAATTTCGTATTTCTTTATTAATTTTTGCATGGTTTGCACTATTAGGCTTCCGTATTAAACTCCTTATTACAACGGGACATATCCTTTATAACGTTTACATGTTAAACCTAAACGCAAGCATTACTGTTTTCAACAGATTCAGTTTGTAAAAACTACTGGATAGGTATTATAAATCAAATAATCTTTATTTGTAGTAAATTAAAATGTACATTGATAAATTCTAAAGTAAAAATTCTATGAAAAATTCTGATGAAAAATTTACGTATCTAGAAAAATTAAATTATTGAATCCAAATATATAAATGTTTGACTATCGTTGAATTGAACTTTAGCAAGCAGAGGGAAAAAATTGTTTCGTAGTTTGCATTTAGATAAAATAAATAAATAAAAATGCAGTAAAATTGCACAATGAAATAATCCTAAATGAAATAACTACTGAAGAGAACTACGCAGACATAGCTATAGACTATTGAGTACTAAAACAACCGATCACGGACAATAGTATTTTAATTATTTTTTGTCCTA